AATTAAAAAATAAAATCAATAAAATATATATCTATTTAGTGTTGAACCAATTCTGAAATTAAACTTTAAACTTAAGAATTTAAATGTGTTCCGGAAAATAACACACTTGTACATAAACTTAATAAACAGACTTTTCCCGGAAAAAGAAAACATAAATGATATTTTCTGTAGCGAAATGCGACTTTTGTATTATATTTTTCGACCCTTTTGTCACTTGTCTTTATTGTGAAAATATTTTTATTTCTTAAATTTATATTTTTAATCATGCGAAATCAAATACGCCTACTTCTTTGAAATTCTTCCTATTATTCATTGCACTTTGTAAATTTCTGCTATTTTTATGTTAAAACTCCCATTTTTTCCTCTATTTAAACGTTAGGATTTTAGGATATAATCAGAGTTTTTTAGATTCTCTCAGAGTTAAGAGTTATTTTTGTGTAAAGATTCTCTCGAGCTTTTTTAATTTCAATAGAATTAGTTTGAATAAAGTTGTGTAACTTTTATTCTTTTGTTTTATTTAAAATAAAGAGTTGAACTTAGAACTTAAAGAGTTTGATTTAAGTTTTCTAAGTTTAGTGTTCTTTAACTAAGAGTTCTTTGTGATTCTATTTGAATTAAATTTGAGTTTTCTAGGGATTTATAGAATTTAGTTTATAAAGTTTAAATTTTATAAAAAGATTTAACTAAAGTTAAGATTTAACTTCAAGCTTCTTTTAAAATTTTGTGTAATATTTTAATTGTTGAAATAAATTTGATTTTGATAGAAAATGATTTTGATAAAAAAGAAAATAGTAAAAAGAATAAAAATAGAAAATATTGTTTATTCATTGGAATAAACTAAAGAAAAACTTAAATAAAAATTTAAAGAAAATATAAAAATTTATTTATTTTTTAACATTGTCCAGCAAAAACATTTAATTTGTTTTTATTTGTTTTTGCGACATTTTCTGACACTTTCTAGACACTTGACGAACCATTATATAATTAGTTGCTGTAATAATAATAAATTGCTTCTTGGCCTTCCAATATTTTCAAAATTTTCGCCTTATATTAATTTTAATTATGTTTAAGCTTTTAAAGCTATCCCATAATTTTTGCCATATTTTTGGCCGATTTCGCCACATATTTGCCATATTTTTGAGCGGCTGCGCACTATTTTTGTGTTTTGGAAGGGGCCACTTGTTTATCACTTTGTTTACCACTTTTCGCCCTTTCTTTCCTTATTGTGACAACCCAAAATAAATCATAAATACGTGTTAGAACAAAAAATACACAGAAAACCCTAAACTAAATTTTTAAGCTTTATGGACAAAAAACTCTTTTCAAATAGAGCTAAAAAGATAAAAATGAAAATAAAGGTAAAAAAGGATAGAAAAGAGAATGAATTTGCTATGTTTTGCTTTAAATAATCATTTTTGTAGAGCTCAGAAGATAATTGCTAGGGATAAATAGCATCTTTTTATCATATTCTTTATTTCCCTCAATTAACCACTTTAACTGCAGAAGCTGGGTAATTACAAAAACTGCCAGTTCCAGCCTTTCCAGGTATCCAAGCATATTGCCAAGGATTCTTGGAATTTTGCACCGCCTCTACACATGCAAAAGCTATTTTAGTAGCTGGATTGTTGTAACCATAAACAGCAACGTTTCGAAGAGTTACTTTGTCTTTTAAGTCATGATTAGGCCCTTGAAATGTGAATATAGTGATTATATCCTTCCATTAAAGACCTACCCATAATAAGAAGTCCAGGTCCCTTGAATTTAGAGTCCACAATCGTTAAATCCCTTTTATATTGCTTCCCGCAATCACCGCACGATCGAAGAATTATCTGGCTATTTACTGCGCAAAAGTTCTTTATTATAGTCTTTCCAGGTCCGCTTTGATCGAAAAGCTTTTGAAAGCCGTCTAGAGCGCCTCCTCCATCTACGATCTAAAAATCGGGGAAAATTTAATTAATTTAAAAATTATCGTACATATGTGTATTGCGTTGAAGAATCTCTTTCCTGGTTTGTATGCCTTCGATTGTATTCTGCTGTGGCACGGAAGCTAGCAGCACGCCAACACGCATTTTCCCACCTGAAATGTTTAATAATGGATATAATACTTGTAACTAAATCGGATCTCAATAGCTAGATAATCGGTTTATTGCACCAATTACAGATAAAATGTGAATTATCTATAGATCGAAACCTTATCATTTCTAAAAATCCTCATACTCTAAATCCACTTACCAAACATTTTTAAGTGTACAACTCCCCATACAATTAATATCAGCAGCAGTCCCATCCGAAGAGACACCAAGTATCACATTCCTTACAGTTCCACCATCCGCAACAGTAATGACAGAACCCCATTGTTTCGGAATTTTTGGGTTGCAAGTCCCTGGATTTCCATTCATTCTAATTCTTTGCATTCCAAAATCTTCGTCGCCTCTAACATAGAAACCAGTATTTGTAACATTATTACGTGAAGCCTTTGGAAAATTACAAAATCTAGCCCCTTCTCTATTTAATTCTATAGACAATATAGACATAAAGGAAATAATTAAAATAAATATATTAAGCATTTTATTCCTCTTAGATTCTGGGAATATTGAAACTTGCTTTAAATTTTGTGAAGAATCTAGAGTTTCTATTAATATTTATATGCCTAATTATAAAAAATTTTAAATGATTTTCCACATACATCAAAACCATCCCCACATATTTAATTTATTAAACACCAATAGACGCAAACGGGAAAAATTTTAAAATCTATTTTAGCTTATTCTTTCAATTTAAATTTAATTTTTATTTTAAAAATTATTCTCTATTTTACATGTGAATAAATATAAATTATAAATTTTTGGCTAATTTTTGCCAAAATTTATAAAATTTTATTTAAAAAAATTATTTCCTTCCAGTACGAAATGGATTATATTATAAGCTTACGCAATTCAAGTCGATTACTTTGCTTTATTTTAAATTTATTTCCGGAAAATTAATTTTATTAATTATTCTCTTCTTGAAAGTCAAGTTTATTAATTTTAATCAGATTATTAATAAATTATTTTTCTTCCTTTTCTTCTTCCCCTTCTCTTGTGTTTCACTCTTGTGTTCAAAATCTTAAAGCATTCGAGACAAATACCTAAACACCAAGAAAAGCTCTTGGTTGCAGGTTATGTTGCTGTGTACATGTTAAGTATATTTAAATAAATTCGGGAATCAGGACGGCTCGTTCCCTAATACATATACATATATTTGTACATTCCAAAGAGTATAAAATATAACACTAAAATGGATGAGTGATAAATTAAGGTACTTTTCTGTTTTGACACACCCACCTTGCTGAATATTTATATTTTTTAGTTTTACTTAAATTAACCTGTTAAAAAACACCAGTTTTCATTACCCCTGAAAAATTAGAACTTGTCTAGTTTAGGTCTCTAACCCTTTTATTCGGGGGGGGGGGGGGTCTCCAACAATTTTGATAGACAAACTTCATTATTATCCTATTTAAATTCAAAGATATTACCTCAGCCAGATTTTTTCGGCAAATTTACTCACAAATGAAGGCATTTTATCTTCTGATGGTCGAGCCAATGACATTTTTCAACCCTTTCAGACTTGAGGACAAAACTTGTGGACCCTCTTTAATATATTATTATTTAATTTTAAGGAATAAGTGTAAATTACTTCTCTTTCGCAAATTATATTTAGGCGATGATGATGATGAGACTAAAAAATCTTATTTAAAAAATTTTTAATTACTGGGTGGAAAGAATCTGGTTATTTGAAGACACCCAGACTTTTAATGGATGTTACCTTAAACACAATAATTATTTTAATTACTGAACAGTAGAATATTTAAACTAAAAATACATGAAGTTCTACACTATCGCCATTAACTTGGGAATCCACTGTCCGAATCCACTACACAATCGTTTAAAAACGCGTGTTTGCGAGGATTTTTAGTAAACATTTACTTTTTAATAAAACAATATATGAGTTATCTTAAATAGAGGGTATAATTTAGACAGACTTTATTGATCAACCAATTTTTAAAGAAATTAACTTAAATTAAGCGGTATATACTATAAAATTTAATTCTGAAATTTAGTTACCATCTCCAAATCCGCCATTAGAAAACGCATTAAAATTTTTTCTTCTTCCTCCTCTACTTCATAATACAAGTTTTTTTATTTTTTAAACTGTTCTTTTATAAATTCCACCAAATTTGTCAATTTCGCCAAAATAAATAATAAAGATACTTTCTTCCACTGAAATTATTGTGGTGATCCTAAAATTATCGAAACTAATTAGCGAAAAAGCGAGATTTTAAAAAAAAATTTTTAGAAATTGAAAAACATGATAAAATTGCCTATGTTCTATTAAAGAAATGAAATATTCAAATTTTAAAAGTATTAATAAAAAAGAAAAAAGTTACTTCCTAACGAAAATGGATCCTTTAAAAGAATGAAATTAATTTTGAAAAATTATAACTTATTTATAAAATTATATACATTCATATAGATAGATAAATGAGTAAAATCTGGGGTAAGCAACTAGAAATAGGACAGAAAATTTCTAAATAACCCAAATAACACCTTTTTTGGTGGAAAAAAGGTGTTGAAAAAAATCCTTTTTTAATTAAGCAGTAAAATTGGCTAACAGTAAACCCAGAAGGATCTAAATACTTTTCTTATCCAAATCTTATAGCGGGCTTTGGTGATTTAATTTACAATGATTGTTGAATATCTGCATTGCACTTAATCATAATATTAAGCATAGTTAACAAGGTCAGAATTGTTAAAAAATTTTAATTTCTTCTGCCTTAAGCATTAATTTTATTTTTTTCGTAGGATTTTTTATAAAATCATTTGGAAAAAATTTGTAAAAATTATTGAAATTTAATTTTTATATATTATAGAAATAGTTTGCAAATAATTTTTTTATTTATTATGCAATCAATCGAAGGGTCCATCATTAATTATTTTCATTAATTATATTATTATATTCCATCAATTGATTATTTTCACAGCTGTAGCAGGGTAGTTACAAAATTTATCGCTTGTTCCAGCTTCTCCAGGTTTGTAAGCATATTTCCAACGATCTGAAGCAGGAGCAATTTCCCCCGGGTATTCAGAACAAACATAATCAATTTTAGTTGCTGGGTTGTTGTTACCATAAATTTTTATGTTTCCAAGAATTAATTTATCGTTGTATTGACGATTTCCATCTTTAAGAAAAATTAAATTGCAAGTTTAATATTAGGCAGGATATTAAGAAAATATTTAAAAAAACGAATCCAAAAATATCCTTTTTTCTGATCACAGAAATGTTATGAATTAAAAACCCTAATTATTGGGTATTTTTATAAAAATGATTTAATGTATCTTATTAAATAACCACATGTTAATCTGTTATTTTTGAATAATAAAGCTCGACTGGGCTAGTTATTTCGTACTTATTTACCCCCCCCCCTTAATTTTTTCGTTAAACATGTAAAAAATGGTCAGTCAGTCTTATGTTACAGAACTCGTCGAGCTGTGTCGAATGTCACCAAAATAAACGTGATTGGACAAGTTTTGACAAAGTTATGGTATTGACAAAGTTATGACATATAGGCTTTACCAAATATAGTAAGCATTGGTCCCATGAATCGTGAGTCTTTAACAGTAATCTTTCGTGAATATTGTTGTGAGCACGAGCCAGCAGAAATTATACCCATAGAGTTATTAACAGAACAAAAATTCTTAACAGTTGTCCTTCCTGGTCCTCCATGTACCATAATTTTTTGAAAACCGTCCAAAGCAGCCCCACCCTCTACAACCTAAAAATCCGTTAAATATAAACAGTTAATAAATAATCCTTACATAATTATATTTTATGTGTTCTTTTTCCCCTGGTGTAGAATCTGCTGCTTCTATAAAACTAAAACCACGCCAACAGGTATTCTCAATACTTAATAAAAAAATTTTCAAAATAATTAAAGGTTTCTGATACCATCTTTTAAATTAACAAATCTAAGTTGGAGATCCAACTAGGGCTGCGCGAGTCGAGGCCTCGACAAGGCCGAGATCCTCGTCTATTTTCGTCTCATCTCGGTTCGACTGGCCCTCGGTTTCGGAGCATCGGTCTCGATCCTGGGCAAGAACCTCGCCAAGGAACGAGGCTGAATATGTACATATACAATTTCTCCAACCCCGAGAAATTTTCAAAAATTGAAACAAGATTTAATTCTCTCTGTCCAATCACATTTTTGAAATTTATTGCCGCGGATATTAATTAACAAAAATTTAAATGAATAAACTTACAAGACATTTTTAAGAGTACAATCACCCCTACAAACAATATCAGAAGAAGTCCCAATTGGAGACTCACCCAAAATAAGATTACTTATAGTAACCCCGTCTTCAACAAATATAGCATGGTCCCAATCGTTGTTCCAGCCAGGAATATTCGGTTGGCATGTATTTGGCTTGCCATTAAAAATAATTCGTTTATTTCCAAAATCAGTGTCTTTAACTATATTCATTGTAGTACTTATTGTTTCAGTAGTTGTAGGCGTAGGGAAATTACAAAATTTCATCCCTTTTTGATTTAGAGCCAGAGACAGTAAAGGTATAGATGAAATAATTAAAAGAAATATATTAAGCATTTTGTTGCTTTTAATTTTTAAATATGGAGAGAATATAGTAATTCTGGCAGATTTTAAAGACTTAATTATTTGATAAATTTTAGTACTTATTAGCGATTTACGTTTCAGCCTTTCTACGTATTAACCATAAGAAAAATGAAACAAAAAAATTTTTTAATTTTTTTCCTGTTGGGCTGCAGTATAGAATAAATTAAAAATTATTTAAAATTAAAAATTTAATTTCTAAAAATAAATTTAAATTAATAATTTAATTTAAAAATTATTTAATGATTAACATATGAATAAATAATTTAACAAAATTCTGGAATTTATTTCCTCAATTTATTTCCTCTATTAAATTTTTAAATTTATTAATTGACGTAAAATTACTTGTTTTACGTAAGGAAAAATTTATGCAATTTAGAGCCTGGACGGATGGCAAAATTTTCGATAATTGTTGCAAAATTTTGCAAAAAAAAAATAAAATTTTATACACAATGAAAAAAAGATGGTTCTAATGATCTAATGTGATTACGTTTAATTAAATTGGATACTGATAGCCCTGGACGGATTAAAGTGAATATCATGGGGCTTATTTGATAGCATGAATCAAGAAGTGTTAAGTGGAGTAGTAATAAAGTGTATATCAAGAGATTGAAAGGGAGTAAGTGGTAAATGCAATTTGCGGATTAGAATGGATATCAGTGGGCTTGTGAATAAGAGGTTTGCCGTTTTCAAGTAGTCCCATTTGAATCTCTCTTAATCCAACGAATTCCCTCTTTATCACTTAAATCTCTCTTAATCCATATTGTAGGGATATTGAAGCAATTTGAAGGTTTAAGCACGATTAGAAGGAACCTAACGATCCTTTGAGAATTTCTGAAGGCCATGTTGGAAGGTTCTTTCTTGAAAACTTTGTAAGGTGTTTGAAAAATAGAATGCCGGGTGCGGAATCATTATACATGGCTGTGTACATTGGCTATTTGATTGTAAAAAGTACTAATCCATAAATATTATACCAAAAAATTTAATGAATTACATATTTGTCAAAAATTATATATTCTTTTTTAATAGTTTGTTTTAAAAATTTTTTATGAGAATTAACTTTCTATAATATAAAATAGAGTAAGTCGAGTACCGAGTAATTAGGAAAAAACCGAGCTCGAGTAATCCGAGTTTGAAAAACCCGAGTTCGAGCTCGAGCTCAACTTTTTAGGCCGAGTTCGATTTCGAGTAGTCGAGTAATCGAGTATTTTTTATAAAATAGTATTTTAAAATAATTTCAATAAAAACAATGGAATTACTAAAGACTATTCATCATCAGTGCCGTGTTTTGGGCATTTATTAGCAGTAATGCGTTAGATCTTTATCAAAATCCCAGTTATTTTCGTTAATCCGTCTATATCTCTCTTAATCCGCAGAAATTTCATGATATGCACACGATCCATGTTGAATCCGGGCTCCGGGTTGAAGATCTATGGATAATATTATTTCGGGGGTTCGTGTAGATTAAGGGGATATCGAGTGATAAGATGAATGAGATGGATATCAGGGGATTGAGCTGGATTTGGGCCGATTATATTGATAGGGTGTATTAGGAGCAAAATCTGGGAAATTCGGAAGACTAATTGGGATATCGTCAGATTAGCATATCGTCGAAAGATGATCATGAGATCCGATGCTCTATCTCTCTCTTTTCGCGCCGCTGGCTTAAATTCTGAGGATTTCTGAAGGACAAATGGGAACACCCAATGTTCAGAAGGCCAGATCCCTCGCGATTCTCTTAAATCACTTGAAATATCCGGATATCACTAAAATCCGCCTAACTTAACTCAATACTCAGATATACACAAATCTTCTTTTTTCAACGCCGCAGGTGAAAATTTCGAGAATTTTGGAAAACAAGAGAGCAAAATTTCTTTTTTTTAGCGCCGCAGGCGAAAATTTTAACAAATTTAGAAGACCAGCCCACAAGATTTCTTCCTTTTTCAGCGCCGCAGGCGAAAATTTTGAGAATTTTGGAAGATCCTTAAGCTAAAAATCTTCCTTTTTGCGCCGCAGATGGGGGCATAAAAATACTCGGTTTTAACCGAGTACGTCGAGTAGGAAGTTTCCGAGCTCGAGTAATCCGAGTATTATGATCCCGAGTTCCGAGTCGAGTAATTACGCAAAAAACCCGAGCGGTCGAGTCGAGTAACTCGAACTCGCTCGAACTCGACTTACTCTAATATAAAATACAATTTACTAGGAAAGCCACGTTATATGTATAATTTTAATTTTGTTTAATAATTTTTAATGACTGCGGAAGTGAATAGTAACTAAATAAGAACGGATTTTGACGATTTTAAGTTCAATTAATTAATATACTCGTCTAGACGAATTTATACATGGAACCTTAGTAAGCGTATAAATATTGCTAGAAAGCTCAAATTCTCATCCAAAGTAAAAAATAAAAATTTATAATTTTAAAATCAAAAGGAATAAAATGATTAATATATTTCTTTTAATTATTTCATCTATACCTTTGTCTCTAGCATTAAACCAAGAAGGGATGAAATTTTGTAATTTTCCAACGCCTACAAGTACAAATGTAACAAAGAAGACTTTACATATATTTAAAGACACTGATTTTGGAATGCAACGAATTATTTTTGATGGCAAGCCAAATACTTGCCGTCCAGATATTCCTGGATGGAACAACGATTGGGACCATGCAATAATCATTGAAGATGGAAATACTATAAGTAATCTTATTTTGGGGGAATCTCCAATCGGTACTTCTTCTGATATTGTTTGTAAGGGTAGTTGTACTCTTAAAAATGTCTTGTAAGTTATTTCATTAATATTAAATTCTTTTGTTAACTCCATTTGGAGTCTTTGTCTCCTAATTATTTTATCAGAATTCGGAAAACGGGGTATTACTTCTAAGGGCTTACTGGTCTAAGGGCTTACAGACTTGCTAGCTTTTCACACAAAAACAATAATAATTTAGTTAAATTTATTTTGAAACTTTATTTTAAACATTTTAGCTTTGAAAATGTTTGCTGGCGTGCTGGTAGCTTTATAGGTGCATCAGGCGCAAAGCCTGGAGATACAAGAAAATATACTTATGTAAGCCTTATTATTCAATTTTAAATTTTTATTTTAAATTTTATTTTTTATTCTCTTCATTTTTTTAGATAGTAGACGGTGGTGGTGCTTTAGACGGTTTTCAGAAAATTTTTACCACAGGAGGAAACGGACAGACAATTGTTAGAAATTTTTGTTCTTATAATAACACAATGGGTGTAATATCTGCTGGCATGAGTAAGGTTCAATATACAAGAGACGTTACCATTGAAAACTCAAAATTCATGGGACCAATGCTTACTATAATTGGTAAATCTTATCTAATATTAGTTGATATAATTAAAATGATCAAACAAAAATTACAATTATTTAATTTTTAAAAAAGATGGAAACCGTCAATACAACGATAAATTACATCTTAAAAATGTGCAAATTTATGGTAACAACAACCCTGCAACTAAAATTTCTTTTGTATGTTCCGAGTACCTTGGGGAAAATGCTCCTGATTCAAATCGTTGGAAATATGCTTACAAACCAGGAGAAGCTGGAACAAGTGATAAATGCTGCAATTATCCCGCTACAGCCGTGAAAATAATTAACTGAATTCATGATTTATTTACTATACTGATTTATTGTATTTTGCGTAAAGAGATAATTGTATATGTTAAAATGTCGCTTAAGATATAAAATAAATTAAATTCGTGGCATTATAATTATATTTATGTCTATCTTATCCCCGACGATCCCTCGATCCCTAGACCCACTATAAATATAAGTATTTCTTTAATTATTCAACAATTAAAATAAGTTGAGGGAAGAAAAAGTAAAGTTAATAAAGCGGGGTTTGGTTGGATTTTCCAATCATACATATTATGCTATTTTAGGTAAATGGATTTTGTGACAGCTGGTTTATAATAATTACATTTATATAACATTCCTCGGCTAAAAGAAGCGCGTCTCGCGCTTAAAATTTTGGATAAAGAAATTAAATATATATAAGTGCGAGGACAGCTTCACATAACTTCCATAATTCCATAATTCGGTCCAGTATAATACTATTTAATACAGTATTAGTTGCAACCTCCTTAGTTTTTGATCATCGTAAATTTTTTGTTTACCCTGCTTTTCCTTCTCATCAATGTATTGAATTTGGTAACGGACGGGAGAAATTGAATATTCTTGTCTTATTCCTCTGAAAACTTTCTCATAGAACTTGCTTTGAAGGGTATGAGCCCGCGTTCCTTTCCAATGCTTCAATTTATTTTCGTCATTTGACTTCACTAGGTTATGGTTGATCTATTATTTAGATTATTTTTATGAAGGAAGATCTACAATCATAGAACTATTAACTTATTCCTATGTTTTAAAGTCATTTAATAAAAATAATTCTGGAGGCACTCTTTTACAAGATTCTATTTTATACAAAAATATTGTAAGGATTATTCACTTAGAATTTTTAAAACGCTTGGCGTGGGTTAAACTATCTAAAAGTATAAAAGTGTAAGCATTAGTCGTCGCCCCGGTAGCTCAGTGGTAGGGCTCCTTTATGGGGTGAGCGAAAGCTCCTAGCAATAACTACGACGCGGTCGCAGGTTCAAATCCTGCCTGATGGTTAAAATTTTGCTTAAGCTCTTTCTATATTTAAACTAGGCGAAAGCACAATAGATATTTTATACTAAAAAGATCAGACAGGAAGTCATTAATATTATTAAATAAAATTTTTCATAGGAATAATGAAACTGGAAAAAATTCTAAGATTTTGTATAAATTTTAAAGCTTTTTAAATTATTCAAAATGAATCCCCTAGCCTTAGTGGCTAATAATGATTTTGTATCTTCCGTAGAATTTTGACTTCTTCATATCAATTAATTATTTTAAATGCTGAAGCTGGGTATTTACACGATACATCGCTTGATCCAGCTTCCCCAGGTTTGTACGCATATTTCCAAGGATTTGCATCACTCACTTGATTTTCTATGTGTTCAACACAGGCATATTTAATTTTTGTTGCAGGGTTGTTATTTCCATAAAGTGTTATGTTACGTAGAGTTAATCTATCTTTGTGTTTGCGGTTTGTACCTTTTTGAAAAATTAATTTATTTGCAAATTACCTAAAGCTTTGCGTTCCTTTGGGATTGTGAATATCTGATAAAATTATCGGATTTTGGCATATCAAACCGAAGACCCAAACAGTTCGCTCAGAATTTTAAACCCTACTGAAGAGTCCTTAAAAGCTATCCCAATATTGAGAGAAAATTAGCAATGTTAAGAAGTACAAGGTTGAAATTGATTGTAGGTCGAGGTACTAGTACCTCCTTAGTCACAATTTCATGACTTACAATTTAATTATTTAAAACTTTCTGAACATTTTAATAGATCATAAGAATAATTTAATGATGCTTACATAATATATTAAGCATTGGTCCTTTGAATCTTGTATCTACAACAATAATTTTACCCGCCCCAGCAGAGCAAATACCTATCGAGTTGTTAACAGAACAGAAATCTTTAACGATGGTCATTGCTCGCTCTCCCTGTCCAATAATTTTTTGAAAACCGTCTAAAACAGCTCCACCATCTACTACCTAAAAAATAGGCTAAATTAAATTACATATTATTACGTACATAAGTATAGTTCCTTTTTTCTCCTGGTTGTACATTTGATGCTCCAATAAAGCTAAAACCACGCCAACAAGCGTTCTCCATACTTTATAAAGAAGTTTATAAAAATAATTATCTAAAGGTTCTCCTAAACTCTTTTTTTACATTTTCCAAAAATTATTGGGAAATCAGAGCAAATCGGTAGTATGAGAAAAAGAAATTTTAAAGGTATGTAGACTTTTATAAAGATAGTCACCAAACTTGTAATTCCAAGCTACAATGAGCCCAATATTATTATGATCAGATTGAACAGGTTTAGAAATGTAGTCCTGTATTTCTCCCAACCTTTGGGGTAAAGTCATATCCCGACTTTACCTACGTAAATATTTCTCCATTGATTTAGTCTATGATTTTAAAAAGAATTAACTTACTAAACATTTTTAAGAGTACAAGAGCCTTTGCACGTTATACTTGAAGCTGTACCGATAGGAGATTCCCCCAAGATAAGATTACTTATAGTAGCATTATTGTCAATAATTATTGCATCTTCCCATACCTCTAGATTTCGATTACATGTTCCTTTCTTGCTATTGAAAATAATTCGTTTCATTCCAAAATCAGTGTCTTCCTTGACATATTTAGTTTGGGTAATTACTTCGGTACAAGAAGGCTTTGGAAAATTACAAAATTTCATCCCTTCTTGATTTACTGCTAGAGAAAGTAAAGGCATAAAAGAAATAATAATAAATATATTAAGCATTTTGCTTAAATTTTTTTAATTTGGATGAAGATATGGCATTTTTGGTAGTATTTAAATCCAAAATTATTTCATGGATTTACGTAAGTATAACGATCTACGTGTCAAACTTCTACGTATTAAACATAAAGAAATTACCAAAAAAGATTTTAAATAAATTTGTTTCGAAGTTATGCTTTGAGAAAAACTAAACTACAAAAAATTTTTATTTACCGGCTCAAATTTGGCTCAATTTTTAATTTATTTCCTCAATAAACACTTACTTCCAGTATGAAATTTATAGATTTTATTCTCTTCCAATTAATCCACGTATTAAGCATAAGGAAAAATTGTACATATCTTTAATTTTAATTGAAGGATTTTGCTCTATCTCTTTTTAAACTGGCTTTGTATTTTCGCCTTTCGTGTTTCGCTTATTTCGCCTTTTACAGTTGATTTCTGCCTTTTCAAGTAAAGACGAAAGGCGAAAATCGGCGAAATCCAAAAGAAAATAACTCTTTCCAGTATTGAGCTCGCTAAGTTAATTTAAATAACATAAAAATCAACGTATTTAATTAATTCGATCGGACCGGATCCCGAACCTGATTTTTGGGATCCGGTAGTCCCGATCCGGGTATTTTAATAAAAATCGAAATTTTCTGGACATTGAGCCCGAAAATCCGGTCCGTCCGTGTCAAAAAACCCAGGATCCGGTCCAGGTCCGATTTTTTTAAAAATAGTACATATAATTTTACCTCCGAAATGAGAAAAGCAAATCTAGTGATTAAACAATTTTTTCCTTTATTATTTTAGAGAGAAGATAATAGATTAGTAAGAAAAAATAGCATCATCAAAAAAAGATTTATTATTTTTTAATTATTACCTTCTCAAATTTTAAATTTCTTTTATAAATTTCTTTCATAGCTAAATATTAAAAATAGCATTATTAAAATATTTTAAATTTTTTGTAACACAAAATTATGCATAGAAATAATTTTTTTCATTCTTATGTTAGTGAAATAACATAAAAAATTACAAAAAAATTAATAATTAAGTCATTAAAATCCAATGATTTCAATTTCCCCAATTAACCGTACAAAAAGCCCCAATCCACTAATTAAAATTAATTCGGCTGAAAACTCTACGAAATCAACTAATCCAAAAGTTGAAATTACTTCAACAAATAATCGATCGCCAAAACGCTTATTTGATGCTTTTTGTGATTATACTTCAATTGCAGGATTCAGATTTTTGCATAGTAGACATCCTATATGGTTTAGGTTAATAATAAATATGAACTTAAAAACTTTGCGAAGATTCCGGAAAACACAAAAATGGAGCATAAAAATTTTCCGGAATTCATAAAATATACACAAATTCCGGAAAACTTGACTTAACTTCCGGAAAATTATAAATAGACACATTTATGTACTAGATTTCCGGAAAACTTGAAAAACATTAAATATATTTTCCGGAAAACTTAAAACGGAAAGTTTTTTCATAGATTAACATAAATGCCACAAAATTCAGGAATTTATTTTTAATCATAGTTTTCTGGAGAATATTAGGGCATATCCAAAGTTTCATAATTTCCGGAAAAGTATAGACTTATTTAGCTATCGGATTTCAGGAAAACCTTAAAATTATATTGAAAAATTTTTAAAATATGCTAAAATAATATTTAAAATAAGCTGAATAATTTATTACAATAAAAAATTTATTCAAAAGAATTCTCTCAGCCATTGTTTTATTTGGCAGCATTGGAATATTCATTTATCATTCTTCTATTTATGTTAGCCGTTTTATTGACAAACGCAATTCTATACAAATGTATACTACTAAAGTACAAAATATTACTGTTCCGGATATTATTATTTGTCCGGTTAGACAATTTAGGTATTTCACTAAAATAATTCTGAGTGTTTTTGGAAAATGATAAAATATTTACAAGTTTCCGTAAACTATAATTAATCCCGAAAACTTAAGTTTGCAAGCTTCCGGAAATGAAATTATCTAAGCTACCCAACAAATTAGCTTATTTTCGGAAGGTTTAAGCTCACATACTATAATGCTAACACGGAGAGGTTGCGATGTGTCCGACCTAAAAATGGTCGAGACCGGGCTCATTCGATAAAAAATGTGCCCTTTCTAGCAAGGATTTTGAGCCGTTTTTGCCCGTTTTTTAGATCTGGCCAAGATATGGCCTTCCAAAGTCTTAAACCCGACCGTTCTATGGTCGGACACCTCGCAACCTCTCCGTGTAAGTATAAGCATATTTTCCGGAAAACTTAAGTGTGATATTTCCGGAAATACTATAATAAATTTTTACCAGTAAACATGAAAATTAATTTTCCGGAGATTTAGAAAATGATTAAGTAATAAATCAGTAAATCGCAATACTATTAACAATTTTCTGGATAATTACCAATTAATTGTTCGATAAAAACGATTTAATTTATCATAAATGAACAGAAGTGTTTTACGCTATAATGGGCCACCCGATTTTTTACATATTGTCTCTCACTACTACAATTCTCCAAAACAAATTCCACTAGTTGATGGACTTTCAATTAATGCTATAACAATAAAGGCTTTAACATATTCACAAAATTTTCTTAAATTTGTTTCGAATTTGGAAATGAATTTAGCTAAAAATCAAAATAATTTTGAAGAAATTATTCAAAAATTGCTTGAAAAATCAGAGAAATTCGTCAACAACAAAACTTATAAAAAATTATTCCCTCATTGTGTGCTGTTAATGAAGGCATGGAACTAAAATAAGATTTAATTTCTCAAATTATTTTTTAGCTTAAAAGCCTTCGAAAAATGCTTATTGACAACTCTTATATTTATTTGAATTATAATAACTTTCACGAATGGCAGTTACACAATGTAAATCACAATAAATAATTCTAATAGTTTTTCCGGTTGTTATCAAGCATTTATTGCCTCGAAAATGAAAATTAAATAATGAATTTCGGAAAAACTTAACAATAAATAAAAAATTGCGGAAAACTTAAAAATTAAGAAAACATTTCCGGAAATTTTAAAATTAAAAAATATTGTTTCCGGAAAACATATTCCGAGGTGTAGGTTTTCCGGAAAATAAAACTAAAACAATAAAACTTAAATATAACTAAAAAATCCGGAAAACTTAAGATTTTCGGAAATTTTAATAATTTTAAAGAAGTTACATTAAGCTAAAATTTTTTGGAACCCTTTAAAAATAAATAATATTTCCGGAGATTTTAATAATGAATAGATAAGTTTTCCAGAAAATAGAATTTCCTTCAAAAACCCTATTTGATTTAAATTTAATACAGAATGATAGTTGCTTCAAAAAATTAATTGAAGAGACTAATCAAGCTCCTCTCTCAATAGTTAACTCCTTAAATTTTATTAAATTTATCAAATGCCGAGCTGAGCGAATTGTTGATTTGTTAAAACAAATAATAGACAAAATTAATAATTTTGAGGAGTATGCCCATAATTCAAAATCTTCACTTGAGGAATGCGTTATTTTGTTAGTTTTTGATTAAATTAATTATTTTAATGATTTTAAAAAAGTTGTCGTTGGCTAGACGGAGGCCCTTGCGTTCTTGACTGGATAGAATCCGAAAATGGAGTTGATTGTATTAGAATCAGAGGGAAAAATAAAATTGTGGCATCTTATATAAGTTAGCACTTAATTTCTAAAATAACAATAAACATGTTCCGGAAGCGAATTATTTTCCGGAAAACCTGAAACTGAATATGCAACTATAATGAAAACTTAAAAATAAAATTTCCGGAAGACTTATAATTGTGCCAGTTATTCCGGAAAATAGTAATACATATTATTTATTTTTTCGGAAACTTAAATTATTTATATGTTCCGAAAACCCTGATAATGAAAATTCCTGAAAACTTAGAAGGTAAATTTTCGTGAAAAGTATCAGTAAATATTTACAAGATTCCAATAACTTAAAATATATTCCGTAAAGTTTAAAATAAATATATTTTTATTAGACTGAGTTAACTATGCCCTAGTTTTTCGGAAAATATCAATAAGTATCTACAAGTTTCCGGAAACCTAAATTATGGAAACATGAATCCCTGTACTAAATTTCTGGTAATATTAAAAAATTTACAGCACTTCGCAACGACATAAATATAATATTGGATTTATTTGCTTTGGATAACCAATTATCAACTTGGGACAACCGTGAATTACGAGTAATTAAATATTTCTAAAATTATTTTTTAAAAATTAATAGATTATATTGTCTGGAGATGTAAACGAAAAGAGTGTTTGTACTAACATTGATGGATTTGCTTAAATTAAAATATATATCAGATTGTATTATTTTTCCTTTAAAATAGCCTGTTTCATTGTACGAAATAACATCATTTTATCTCAAGTATAATGGGAACTGTCTGCTCCAAACTACCGTCTAGCTCGAACTGTATTAGCTCTCACCCCCCGTAGAAGGAATGTTTTGATCCTTGCGATCAGAGGTGGGTCGGAACATTCAATTGTCGGAAATCGGAAGGAAAAAACGCCGAAAATGGGAATTCCGACCCACCTCTGCGTGCGACCACCTAGTTCGAAAGGGAAATGTTCTCTCCAGCTTATTTCTTAAAGCGAGGGAGCTCGAACTGTATTTGCTCCTACCCCGTAAAAGGAAAATTTCGCTCCTTTCGAACACCTAGTTCGAAAGGGACATGTTCTCTCCAGCTTATCACTTAAATCGAGGGAGCATTTTTAATTCATCAGGATAGATAACTAAGAATGACGTAGCTAATAAATATATGGATATTATATAAAAATTTATCAAAGAACATAAACTGTATTATTCAAACCTTTATGCCTTTTTAAAAATTTTCATGGAATACGGTAGCCAAATCTATTAGAAAATTATCAGTAATTTCTTTTAATACGGTTATCTTTATCGTTTGAAAATTCATCCAAAATAGTATAATCAATGCATCGAGGGTCCAACATTACTAGAAGGTCCAACACGGTTTCTAGTATTAGATGGAGGTAGTCCTCCTGCAACACTGGCCATTGATGAATGTAGAGGTGGTGGTGTGACGCAAGGAATCACTCTAACACACATTCTGTAGACATCACGACGAACAGTTTTGTTCAGAGCCAGATAAATTACTGGAGGCATTCCTTTACGTAAAAATTTTATTAAAGCAAAATATGAATATTTTAAAATTCAAGTCGAAAATTATAAACCAGAATTCCCGATTTTTTTGTAGCACTACTCCCACAAAGGAGTACTGCTGGCTAAATCACAAGGGTGACCAAGGGAGGGTCTTATTAAGAAGGGAGGGTCTTATTAAGAAGGAAGCACTAATTCAGAGAGTACCCTATTTTACAGCAATCCTTAGAAGGTCCTTTATAAAAGATGGGTAGTTCTAATTCATGTAGGATATGACACTGTCAATTTTCTCTTACAGTAGACAAGAGATCTGCACATGTCAGATCCAAGATGGGGTTTACCAGATTCCATTCATTCATTTCCTTACGTTAACTTCCATAATGTCAAATTCCAATACCCAATGTCTTACCATGGGCGAGCATCCAAGTAAACTGCCCAGTCAGAATAAGTACTTCACTTATTCGGGCAAATTGCATGTAAACATAAATAGCCGCTGCAACCGCATTAATCGAACTTATCAGAATAACTTGTACAAAAGTCTGGAAAACTTTTTTGATTTTTTTAAAGATTAAGAAAGACCATCTTCTGTGCTCGACTAGTTTGTGCACTTGTACTGATTTTGTGCTTCATGGTTTTCAAACTCAGAATTGTAGCAAAAGTAAAGTAAGTACTACTCAACATTACGATTACAAAATAATTGTGAACTGTATGTAAGTGGCTATAATACTAAAGGAAAAATTAATTAATGATTTGTAAGACTATTTTTCCCTTAGTCTATTTCTCCCCGAGTAGACTCTTGAGGGAGGGAAGACTAATGAAAGACTAATTCTCCCTTAGTTTGATTCTCCCCGAGTAGACTCTTGAGAGAGAGAGAGAGAGATTGACTTTAAGGGGGAAATCGTTCGGCACTGAGATATTGGGAATAATATTTTTTGAGATTCATTTACCCAGGAGTAGGAGATCCAAATCCGAGCCGAAGAGCCTAACCGAAAATCCTCGGTTCTTCGGCTCGTCGGTTCGGTCCATAACCGATAACTCTACCAAGGAGAGTTTCAGTTGTTGAATTTATTCCCTTGAGATGATCAAATACCTTATGAAAGCGTGAATTTAAACGACAAGATTAAGATAGATCACTTGTCAGTGCTTAATGAAGACCTAATAAACTAAAAATCCTAACAGCATTTTGCTTTACTTTCTGCATTTAAACCTTACCTTCTTCCCAAAATCATCCAAATACCCAACATGCGGATTAAAAAACCACGAAACAAAAATTCCACTAAAATGAATGGGCATTTCAAATATAAAAAACCAAAGCCCATAAAGTGTTGGAACAATCTTTGAAAAAATTATTAATTAACAATTAAATAATTATCAAAACCATCCATATATAAGTTCGTTTTCCATGGAAAAGAAATTCTGCCCACGTTCGAGAGCTGAGCTCTATACAACGATTTATAGCCAAGATCATCTCTGCTACAGTTTCACATCCCCATAAAGCTTTCAAATTAAATTTTGCTTAAATTCAAATGATGTTAGCTTACCCAGACCAGCAGACCCGGCAAAATAAATAAATCGAGGGTATGTACAATAAACAGCCCCAACAATAGAAAGCCATCCAGTAATAATAGCATTTACTACGAGACACATCCTGAATATTTTTAGATGCTTTTTCAGATTTCTTCAAGTTTTATGTTAGTCTGCTAGCAATTAAATTTAGGATCTATCAAGGGAGAGAAGAGAGAGAAATCATCGACACAGTATCTCAGTCGTTAAAGACCCTACACGTGGATAGTGAAAGCGCCGAGCAATAAAGCCAAGAACATAGCCTGCCCGACTAATCCTTTATTAATATTAATCGCTATCAAATTATTTTACTAGTCTTAAAGCTTTCCTTAAATTTCTTCTTTCACTTTTCAATTTTCTTTTTGATGCAGCTCTGCTAATCAGCACTTTAAATTGAACTGTTAGCAAAGCTCATGTTTAAATTAATTTTTAAAAAGCTAAGCTGAGCAATAACTACTAGGACAACGCAGGAACATTGCCTTTTTTACTTGTCTCAAACCTTTCCTTAAATTTCTTCCTTAATTTTTCAATTTTCTTTTTTATGCAGCTCTGCTAATCAACACTTTAAATCGTATTGTTAGCAAAGCTCATTTTTAAATAAACTTTATAAAATAGTTTAAAATCATTACATATCTGCTATAGAAATGTAGAACATAAATTTGAAGCAAGTGCTGTCCATATGCTTACGAATAGCTATCATACAGGGAAAATAGAGAAACTAGAAAAAATTATTAAAGATTTCTGGCGTAATGTTTAATTTAATTACTTCCATAAAAAGCCCACAAGACAAAAATATCGCTCCAATAGTAATGTGTTGCCGATTTTCTAGTGGAATATCGGTGACATTGTAGGCGCTGCAATTATAACGTTCGTGGTAAATGTCAGGACGGAAAAAATAAACGTAGGCCATTTTGGGGTGATTTTGATTCTTAGCCTCTATAAATAAATTTATTTCAACGGAGATAGTTTCTTTTTGATGCAGCTCTGCTAATCATCAATTAAATCGAACTGTTAGCAAAGCTCATGTTTAAATAAATTTGTGTTAGTTGATTATTTATTTATGTATCATGAAAATAATTTTAAATATTCAAAAACCACAAAAAGAATTTTTAAATAATTATTAAAGATCTCATTTTTAATTATTTCTAATTCTATGTAAAATTTTATATTCCCCACGCCCCCCCCCCCAAATTATACATAAGTGTTCTAATATATAATTCTATTCTTAAATTTAAAAAAAATATAAAAAATATGTACTTGAGTAGTAGTTAAAAAAATTTTTTTTAATTTTTTTAAAATTAGTTGATTATTTATCTTTATAAAATAAAAAAAATAAAAGTTTTTTCCCTGACAAATTTTTAAATTTATTCACAATAAGCATAATTAGACAGCTATTTTTCTTTCAAATTTTTTTACCTTCTTTCTATTTTTTTATTTTTCTGTGGATATTTTAAAGGGTATTTATTAAAAAATTCTTAAATAAGATAATTTTGACAAAAAACATGTCTGATTTTTAAATGTCAATTTTGTTATAAAAAATTGGTACTTTTCCGTTATGACGTAACCCCCTAAATTAATGTTCAAAATGTCATATATAGGGTAGAAAAAGGTGCTGAGTCGAACGGTACCACTCTTTTTCACGGAGATGCCTGTGGACTGAGATATAGGGCTCGAAATGGTAAAAAACCATAGGGGGGAGTTTTGGAGTGGAAGATTGCATTTTTTGAATGATAGCTCATTCGAAAGAGCTCCTCGAGCTGAGTCAAATGACACCAAAATCAGTTCGAAATCTTGATTTTGAGACGAGATTAACAAGCTAAAAATGGTCAACGTAAACCTATAGGGCGTAGGCGAGGCGCACTCCCCCATATGGTTTTTGACCATTTCGAGCCCTATATCTCGGTCCACAGGCATCTTCGTGAAAAAAGAGTGGTACCGTTCGACTCAGCACCTTTTTCTACCCTATATATGACATTTTGAACATTAATTTAGATGGTTACGTCATAACGGAAAAGTACCAAAAAAATTTTTGTGATGTGATGGCGAAAATCAACCTGGTACAGCAGAATTAAATTTTTTAGTGCTTAGAGACTGTACAAAATAGAGATTGATCATATCAACTAATCATATTAATATCATATCTTTAAGCAATTTGGACTTGTACCAAAAACGACTATCTAACAAGTCTAAGCTTCAATAAATATTTTAATTTTTTACAAGAAGTAGTACAATAGAATACATCAATGTTACAATATTAAAGTTACAAAAATTCAGGGCTAAAAGTCAGCTTATAAAAATTATTAAAGTTTCATCTCCATTGTTTGTCGACGTGGCGGTTAAATTATTTTAAAATATTTCCGCCCAATTTTGATTTCTCTATATCAATTAATTATTTTAAATGCTGAAGCAGGGTATTTACACGATACATCGCTTGATCCAGCTTCCCCAGGTTTGTATGCATATTTCCAAGGGTCCGCATCAATCACATGATTTTCTATGTGTTCAACACAAGCAAATTTAATTTGTGTTGCAGGGTTGTTGTTTCCATAAAGTGTTATGTTACGTAGATTTAATCTATCTTTGTGTTTGCGGTTTGTACCTTTTCAAAAAATTACTTTAATTGCCGATGGATGTATCGGATCGAACCGTTATAGGTTCATTGATCACTGGGTAATCTTATAAAAAGCATTCTAATGTATCTTATCTCCTCTTGACTAGGGTAGTCGTTTCTTGGAAGATGTTCGGATATCCAGAAACGAACCAAAGGCCGAACCGAAAGATCTCCGGTTCTTCGGTCAGGTTCGGCTCGGTCCAGAACCTTCCAGAACCTACTCCAGACAAATCCTTGGATTTGAGATGATACAAGGTACGAGAACAAGCAAGGCATTGCTCCTTACTCTCAATTTTTAGTATGAAAGGAACTAAACCATACGAATTAAGGATGTTAAGACTTACATAATATATTAAGCATTGTCCTTTGAATCGTGTATCTACAACAATAATTTTACCCATTCCAGCGGAACATAAACCTATCGAGTTGTTAACAGAACAGAAATTTTTAATTATGGTCATTCCTCGTTCTCCCTGCCCAATAATTTTTTGAAAACCGTCTAAAACAGCTCCACCCTCTACTACCTAAAAATAAGCTAAGATGAATTAAATTAGCTATTATTACGCACATAAGTATATTTCCTTTTTTCTCCTGGTTGGACATCTGATGCTCCAATAAAGCTAAACCCACGCCAACAAGCATTCTCCATGCTTAATAAAGAAATTTATACAAGAGAATAATCTTATCTGAAGCCTATAATATATCCGAAGAAAAAATATATGACCGAGTTAAACGCTATCTCCTAGATTTTTTGTACTATAATATATCCGAAGAAAAAATATATGACCGAGTTAAACGCTATCTCCTAGATTTTTTGTACTATAATATATTCGAAGAAAAAATATATGACCGAGTTAAACGCTATCTCCTAGATTTTTTGTACTATAATATATTCGAAGAAAAAATATATGACCGAGTTAAACGCTATCTCCTAGATTTTTTGTAATATAATATATCCGAAGAAAAAATATATGACCGAGTTAAACGCTATCTCCTAGATTTTTTGTACTATAATATATCCGAAGAAAAAATATATGACCGAGTTAAACGCTATCTCCTAGATTTTTTGTACTATAATATATCCGAAGAAAAAATATATGACCGAGTTAAACGCTATCTCCTAGATTTTTTGTACTATAATATATCCGAAGAAAAAATATATGACCGAGTTAAACGCTATCTCCTAGATTTTTTGTACTATAATATATTCGAAGAAAAAATATATGACCGAGTTAAACGCTATCTCCTAGATTTTTTGTACTATAATATATTCGAAGAAAAAATATATGACCGAGTTAAACGCTATCTCCTAGATTTTTTGTAATATAATATATCCGAAGAAAAAATATATGACCGAGTTAAACGCTATCTCCTAGATTTTTTGTACTATAATATATCCGAAGAAAAAATATATGACCGAGTTAAACGCTATCTCCTAGATTTTTTGTACTATAATATATCCGAAGAAAAAATATATGACCGAGTTAAACGCTATCTCCTAGATTTTTTGTACTATAATATATCCGAAGAAAAAATATATGACCGAGTTAAACGCTATCTCCTAGATTTTTTGTACTATAATATATCCGAAGAAAAAATATATGACCGAGTTAAACGCTATCTCCTAGATTTTTTGTACTATAATATATCCGAAGAAAAAATATATGACCGAGTTAAACGCTATCTCCTAGATTTTTTGTACTATAATATATCCGAAGAAAAAATATATGACCGAGTTAAACGCTATCTCCTAGATTTTTTGTACTATAATATATCCGAAGAAAAAATATATGACCGAGTTAAACGCTATCTCCTAGATTTTTTGTACTATAATATATCCGAAGAAAAAATATATGACCGAGTTAAACGCTATCTACTAGATTTTTTGTACTATAATATATCCGAAGAAAAAATATATGACCGAGTTAAACGCTATCTCCTAGATTTTTTGTACTATAACTATAATATATCCGAAGAAAAAATCTCCTAGATTTTTTGTCCTAGAAAATCTCCTAGATTTTTTGTACTATAATATATCCGAAGAAAAAATATATGACCGAGTTAAACGCTATCTCCTAGATTTTTTGTACTATAATATATCCGAAGAAAAAATATATGACCGAGTTAAACGCTATCTCCTAGATTTTTTGTACTATAATATATCCGAAGAAAAAATATATGACCGAGTTAAACGCTATCTCCTAGATTTTTTGTACTATAATATATCCGAAGAAAAAATATATGACCGAGTTAAACGCTATCTCCTAGATTTTTTGTACTATAATATATCCGAAGAAAAAATATATGACCGAGTTAAACGCTATCTCCTAGATTTTTTGTACTATAATATATCCGAAGAAAAAATATATGACCGAGTTAAACGCTATCTCCTAGATTTTTTGTACTATAATATATCCGAAGAAAAAATATATGACCGAGTTAAACGCTATCTCCTAGATTTTTTGTACTATAATATATCCGAAGAAAAAATATATGACCGAGTTAAACGCTATCTCCTAGATTTTTTGAACTATAATATATCCGAAGAAAAAATATATGACCGAGTTAAACGCTATCTCCTAGATTTTTTGTACTATAACTATAATATATCCGAAGAAAAAATCTCCTAGATTTTTTGTCCTAGAAAATCTCCTAGATTTTTTGTACTATAATATATCCGAAGAAAAAATATATGACCGAGTTAAACGCTATCTCCTAGATTTTTTGTACTATAATATATCCGAAGAAAAAATATATGACCGAGTTAAACGCTATCTCCTAGATTTTTTGTACTATAATATATCCGAAGAAAAAATATATGACCGAGTTAAACGCTATCTCCTAGATTTTTTGTACTATAATATATCCGAAGAAAAAATATATGACCGAGTTAAACGCTATCTCCTAGATTTTTTGTACTATAATATATCCGAAGAAAAAATATATGACCGAGTTAAACGCTATCTCCTAATTTTTTGTACTATAATATATCCGAAGAAAAAATATATGACCGAGTTAAACGCTATCTCCTAGATTTTTTGTACTATAATATATCCGAAGAAAAAATATATGACCGAGTTAAACGCTATCTCCTAGATTTTTTGTACTATAACTATAATATATCCGAAGAAAAAATCTCCTAGATTTTTTGTCCTAGAAAATCTCCTAGATTTTTTGTACTATAATATATCCGAAGAAAAAATATATGACCGAGTTAAACGCTATCTCCTAGATTTTTTGTACTATAATATATCCGAAGAAAAAATATATGACCGAGTTAAACGCTATCTCCTAGATTTTTTGTACTATAATATATCCGAAGAAAAAATATATGACCGAGTTAAACGCTATCTCCTAGATTTTTTGTACTATAATATATTCGAAGAAAAAATATATGACCGAGTTAAACGCTATCTCCTAGATTTTTTGTACTATAATATATCCGAAGAAAAAATATATGACCGAGTTAAACGCTATCTCCTAGATTTTTTGTACTATAATATATCCGAAGAAAAAATATATGACCGAGTTAAACGCTATCTCCTAGATTTTTTGTACTATAATATATCCGAAGAAAAAATATATGACCGAGTTAAACGCTATCTCCTAGATTTTTTGTACTATAATATATTCGAAGAAAAAATATATGACCGAGTTAAACGCTATCTCCTAGATTTTTTGTACTATAATATATTCGAAGAAAAAATATATGACCGAGTTAAACGCTATCTCCTAGATTTTTTGTACTATAATATATCCGAAGAAAAAATATATGACCGAGTTAAACGCTATCTCCTAGATTTTTTGTACTATAATATATCCGAAGAAAAAATATATGACCGAGTTAAACGCTATCTCCTAGATTTTTTGTACTATAATATATCCGAAGAAAAAATATATGACCGAGTTAAACGCTATCTCCTAGATTTTTTGTACTATAATATATCCGAAGAAAAAATATATGACCGAGTTAAACGCTATCTCCTAGATTTTTTGTACTATAATATATCCGAAGAAAAAATATATGACCGAGTTAAACGCTATCTCCTAGATTTTTTGTACTATAATATATCCGAAGAAAAAATATATGACCGAGTTAAACGCTATCTCCTAGATTTTTTGTACTATAATATATCCGAAGAAAAAATATATGACCGAGTTAAACGCTATCTCCTAGATTTTTTGTACTATAATATATCCGAAGAAAAAATATATGACCGAGTTAAACGCTATCTCCTAGATTTTTTGTACTATAATATATTCGAAGAAAAAATATATGACCGAGTTAAACGCTATCTCCTAGATTTTTTGTACTATAATATATTCGAAGAAAAAATATATGACCGAGTTAAACGCTATCTCCTAGATTTTTTGTACTATAATATATCCGAAGAAAAAATATATGACCGAGTTAAATGCTATCTCCTAGATTTTTTGTACTATAATATATCCGAAGAAAAAATATATGACCGAGTTAAACGCTATCTCCTAGATTTTTTGTACTATAATATATCCGAAGAAAAAATATATGACCGAGTTAAACGCTATCTCCTAGATTTTTTGTACTATAATATATCCGAAGAAAAAATATATGACCGAGTTAAACGCTATCTCCTAGATTTTTTGTACTATAATATATCCGAAGAAAAAATATATGACCGAGTTAAACGCTATCTCCTAGATTTTTTGTACTATAATATATCCGAAGAAAAAATATATGACCGAGTTAAACGCTATCTCCTAGATTTTTTGTACTATAATATATTCGAAGAAAAAATATATGACCGAGTTAAACGCTATCTCCTAGATTTTTTGTACTATAATATATCCGAAGAAAAAATATATGACCGAGTTAAACGCTATCTCCTAGATTTTTTGTACTATAATATATCCGAAGAAAAAATATATGACCGAGTTAAACGCTATCTCCTAGATTTTTTGTACTATAATATATCCGAAGAAAAAATATATGACCGAGTTAAACGCTATCTCCTAGATTTTTTGTACTATAATATATCCGAAGAAAAAATATATGACCGAGTTAAACGCTATCTCCTAGATTTTTTGTACTATAATATATCCGAAGAAAAAATATATGACCGAGTTAAACGCTAACTCCTAGATTTTTTGTACTATAATATATTCGAAGAAAAAATATATGACCGAGTTAAACGCTATCTCCTAGATTTTTTGTACTATAATATATCCGAAGAAAAAATATATGACCGAGTTAAACGCTATCTCCTAGATTTTTTGTACTATAATATATCCGAAGAAAAAATATATGACCGAGTTAAACGCTATCTCCTAGATTTTTTGTACTATAATATATCCGAAGAAAAAATATATGACCGAGTTAAACGCTATCTCCTAGATTTTTTGTACTATAATATATCCGAAGAAAAAATATATGACCGAGTTAAACGCTATCTCCTAGATTTTTTGTACTATAATATATTCGAAGAAAAAATATATGACCGAGTTAAACGCTATCTCCTAGATTTTTTGTACTATAATATATCCGAAGAAAAAATATATGACCGAGTTAAACGCTATCTCCTAGATTTTTTGTACTATAATATATCCGAAGAAAAAATATATGACCGAGTTAAACGCTATCTCCTAGATTTTTTGTACTATAATATATCC